ATATATAATAGTTTTATCTTACTGAGCACAAGATAAATATGTAATATTTTAGAATTAGCACAAATACGGAATGATTGACATTAATCTCAAACAGTGGTTCTTAATCTTTTTAGCGGTACCGAACCCAACCAGTTAATGCGCACATTCAACGAACCCTTCATTAGTGAAAAATAAATATCTATATTTTTTTTACAAATTCAAGATATTTAAAAAAAAACAATTGATTAAAAACAGAAAAAAGTAAATACACTTTCAAGACATAAGTATACTTTTTTTTTTTTTTTTTTACGTACTATCACCACAGTCACACATTGACGACGAAGCAAACTAAATTCCCACAGCATTGATTGGACAAGCAATGTAATGTGGTCATCCACAGCCAGTGATGGCCAAGCAGGCATGTCATAACTAATTGACATGTTGAGTCACGTGTGTCTTACCCTCCATGGCAGAGGCTCTGTCGAACCCCTGAGACCGACTGAACTCAGGTTAAGAACCACTGATCGAGAACATTGTGACATGTTTCATGTCTGTATGTAAAGATATTTACGTTTTGTCATGTGGCATCTGTAAGATTAGGCCTGCTCTGAATACAACTTGTCCTCTATAGCATCAATTCTTTTTGCTCGATCCTCAGGGAGTTCTTTACCAGATTGAGCTTTCAGTGGCCTGTAGGCCAGAGTCTTTTGAGCGATAACATCACATTTAACACACCTGCTCTGCTTTTCCACCCAAAGAGCTTTTATCACTTACAAATCAGTCACTTGACACCAGACAGCGAAACAGCTAATTCGACGTTTTCCTCACTTTTGTTACCAGTGGCTAAAACATGAATGGCGGTGAGTTGAATTATATTGAGGGACAGTACATTTACGCTGTTGGGCAAGATGTCCATGTGAATAATTGAGAGTTTATCTGATTGACATGGAGATCTTTTCAAATTTGGCATGTGCAAAAGGCTCAACATTTTTTTAAACTATATATATATATATATAATATCTATATTTTTTTTACAAATTCAAGATATTTAAAAAAAAACAATTGATTAAAAACAGAAAAAAGTAAATACACTTTCAAGACATAAGTATACTTTTTTTTTTTTTTTTTTACGTACTATCACCACAGTCACACATTGACGACGAAGCAAACTAAATTCCCACAGCATTGATTGGACAAGCAATGTAATGTGGTCATCCACAGCCAGTGATGGCCAAGCAGGCATGTCATAACTAATTGACATGTTGAGTCACGTGTGTCTTACCCTCCATGGCAGAGGCTCTGTCGAACCCCTGAGACCGACTGAACTCAGGTTAAGAACCACTGATCGAGAACATTGTGACATGTTTCATGTCTGTATGTAAAGATATTTACGTTTTGTCATGTGGCATCTGTAAGATTTTTTTGTTGGCGGTATTCACAGCACACAAGTGATGAAAAAATATTCATGAATTCCTTGTTGGTTCAATGTAGGTGGTCTACTTCACTGCCACATTTCCATATGTCATGCTGCTGGTGTTGCTTGTTCGTGGACTGACATTGCCCGGTGCCAAAGAAGGAATCAAGTTCTACCTCTACCCAGATGTATCCCGGCTCAGCGATCCAATGGTAACATCACGTTGCCTCTTTGTACAAGCTGTTGTCAGTCTACTTCTCAATGACAGGGTTTGCTCACTGAAAATTTGAAAATACCTTTGTGTCAGGTTTGGCTGGACGCCAGCAGTCAGATCCTGTTCTCCCATGGAATCACGCTTGGGATTCTGACAACTTTAAGTAGCTACAACAAGTCCACCAATAACTGTTACAGGTACACGTCTCACATCGTCATAAGCAGTTTAGCACCATCACAGTTATGATTAAAAAGGGACTCATTTCCAGATAAACTCTCCATATTTTTGGATCCTTTCTCCTGGATATTTAGCTGGGATTTTTTTTGGGCCTTCCTATGTGGGCTATGTACGGAGCCCCTAAGGCAGGGGTGTCAAAGTCAAATGGACGAAGGGCCAGATAAAAAATTTTGCTGCAAGCCGAGGGCCGGACTGATCGAATGTTCATTGAAAATTTTAAAAATGACCACATATTGTTTATTGAACCAAATTTAATTGACTGAAAACCTAACAAATACATTCCAATATGGTCAGATAAATAAAGCAACATTTTTTTATGGCTATGTCAGTAAACTTTAATTTTCAACAGGCACAAAAAAATTTCCTTTGTATAAAAATACTCATAACATGAATGAAAGAAGCCGATATTATTCAAGGCACTATCAATCGTCCATATTTTCTCTTTTAGCAAAAGTAGGCTAAATTTACTTAAAAGAAAATCAAATAAAAGTGAAGTAATTTTCGATCATTTACTCGAATAAAATATTTTTAAAACATAATTGGATTGAAATACAATAAAATAAAGTGCAAAAATGTATAAACCAAAAACAACACTTTCTTCAAGAAGTAACAAGCAGCAAAAGCAAATATTGCACTTTAATTTTTAAACTTGAACTGAGTAAAAACTCTTAGTATGTGATTGCACAGTATATTATAAGTAATATTCACTTCTCTGAGGCTGAGGCTGATACTCGGTGGTGTCTTAACTTTTCTACAAGTTCATCAATATTTGGGGTCAGGCTCTGAGCTGAGCAAATCCTCAAAATTGAGTGAGGGTGTTCAGCAGTAAATCGACTTCTGTGTGATGTTTTGTTCAGCTTCATCAAAGAAAATAGTTGTTCACACACACGTATGTGCTGCCAAACTTTCGACAACGTTTGAGCAGCCTGGATGCGCAGCGGGACCACTGTGTCGGGGAGGAAACCGTCAAACTGCGCAGCACGCACTGCCGTATCTTTGCAGAAACACTGCAATTGTGTTTCTGCTAATGCTCACGTTTAAAAAGAGTTGCTTTTTTCGGGGTAAACTTCGTCACAAACTTTAAGTATACCGTTTTTAATGAAATCCCCCTTCCCCCTCCATGTCCATGTTCTTGTTTGCGTGTTTCGTTTCATGATGTCGTCTCAGATTACACAATTTCAATCGCGCCACACTTTCTCCACACAGAAGACACACAGGTTTTCCAGCTACGTCCATGAACATGTTCTTCGACTCTCACCTTGTTTGAAACCCCCGGTTCTCAGTGTCCACCTTCCGTTTTGCCATTTTTGATGGGTATCTGAAAGCTAATGTCACTGTTATGGGAACGACTGCTAGACGAATAAATATTTAAATAAAGCGGCCGACTGCTTGGCGCGTTACCGTTGCATTGTGGGAAATGTAGTATTGGTGCGTGTAAAAGATCTGTGGGCTCTCGGCTTGCTGCGGTCCGCGGGCCGGTTCTAATAATAAATCAATATCATCCCAGGGGCCACTGAAAACATTCTCGCGGGCCGGATTTGGCCCGCGGGCCGGCACTTTGACATTTGTGCCCTAAGGGGACATGGAAGGAAAAAAAAACTTTGCATTCCCTCGTGAAGTTTTGCATTCCCCTTGCAAAAATTGCGAGATAAGATAAGATAAGACCAAGTTGTCCTTAGGTATGAACGTGAGTGTAAATGCTTGTTTCTCCATATGTACTCTGAGAATTAGGGATGTTGGGTGATAAAAAATTTTTTCAGACTGGTAAAAAGTACTCAACTCTTGAGGAGCCACCCACACCGACACCAAGTACCGTTACCGCTAGTACTTTTGATACACAACGTTCTGTCAAACCATTTCTTCATTCATTCATTTTCCGAACCGCTTTATCCTCACTGGGGTTGCGGGAGGTGCTGGAGTTGGCGGGGAACACCCTGAACCAGTTGCCAGCCAATCGCAGGGCACACAGAAACGAACAAGTATTCGCGCTCACACTCACACCGAGGGACAATTTGGAGTGTTCAATAAGCCTGCCATGCATGTTTTTGGAATGTGGGAGGAAACCGGAGGACCTGGAGAAAACCCATGCAAGCACGGAGAGAACATTCAAACTCCACACAGGAAGGCCAGAGCTGGAATTGAACACGGTACCTCTGCACTGTGAGGTCGACGTGCCCACCCCTCGACCGCCTCTGTCAAACCATTGACAGATAATTTTCAAGAAAGATCCATTTGGATAGATGGTTTTCAACGTTGTGAAGTCGAGACTTTTGCAACAGCAGTTGACCAATTATGTTGCATTTGCCCAATAGGGACTGTATTTATTTGTGCCTGCTGAATGGGTCGACCAGCCTTGTGGCCGGCTTTGCTGTTTTTTCTGTCCTTGGCTTTATGGCCAAGGAGCACGGCGTGGACATATCCATGGTGGCTGAATCAGGTATAGATGCAATACACTTGGCAATACATTCAGAATGTGAAGCTTTTTCGGTATAAAGTGACAATTATTGACTTTTGTTTTTTTTCAGGTCCGGGTCTGGCATTCATCGCTTACCCTCGTGCTGTGGCTTTGATGCCTTTTCCTCAACTTTGGGCCATTTGCTTTTTTTCCATGATCATCTCTTTAGGAATCGATTCTGCGGTAAAACAAGCTTAAATGAGAAACAAATTTCCTCAGTTGAAATAAAATGTACAATTAATAACGCACACCAAAAAAATCTGTCTTCTCACCATAGTTTGTCAATGTAGAGGCACTGATCACAAACATAGTTGACACGTACCCTTCAATCTTTGAAAATAAACGTCGACGTAAACTCCTCCTTCTTGCGATCGGTGTTGCAAACTTCCTTGGTGGTCTTCTCATGGTTACAGAGGTGAGCAACCAACCTTCATGAAATACATGACGGATTTAAAAAAAAGACTCAAATGAAGTGATGGCAACATTGTTTTGGACTTTGTTTTTCAGGGAGGCCTGTATGTTTTCCAGCTGTTTGACTATTACTCCTGCAATGGGATGACTCTTCTCTTTTTTGCCATTCTCGAGTCGGTCTGCATCGGATGGATTTATGGTATGCACTCTTGATTTGACTCACCATGAGCATTGGCTGGACTCGCATGGGATTTTCGCACATTTCTGAAGACACACTGCTAATGAAGGATATTATTCCTAAAGGGGCAGATCGTCTGTATGATAACGTAAAGGACATGATTGGCTATCGTCCATGGCCTTTGATGAAATATTGCTGGAAGTACTTGGCACCGGTTATTTGCACTGTAAGTATTAGCAAAGAAGGTAGGCCTCTATTGACACTGACACGTTGTCCTATCAAGTGATCAAGAAGGATTTTTTTTTCTGTCTGGCTCCCCGGGCAGGGCCGAAGTCAAGATTAAGCAAGTTCTAATGGATACAAGTTGCCAATAGACACAGAAAACATTTTCTGGACAATATGACACTTTGTGAAAGTGTGATGAGTTGAACCCAGAAAATGTAAACGTGCAATTATTTGTTTTCATATTTTTATTACATTTTATTTCTCTGTGAAAATTTCTTGAACAGGAGGTGGGCATCTCTGATGGCGTACAGTTGGGAGCTCATGCAGAAGAAGGATTTTTTTTTGTCCTGAGTAACTCTGGAGTTTAAATGATAAATGCACATTTTTGGAGTCTGAGGGCAGCTACGTTAACAAACTAAATGACGTACACCAAACAAACAGCAAATTTTAATGGATTTGTGTGTTCCTAATTGTACATTTGATGCTGATTTTAAAAATGTATTTACTTTTTTCCGCTTGAGTACATCAGGGTTTTGGGATATTTACATTTTCTGTTTTAAATTTGACCTATAAAAGCTTGCGTGATATGCATTTTACCACGCATTATAATTTCTAGCTATGACATGACAGCAAACAATTCCACCTGTTGTCGAACCTAACCCCTAATTCATGAATATGACTGACTATATTTCAAATATATAATACATATATTCTAAATATTGTAAATTTTTTGTTGTCATGAAATTATGAAAATCAGATTTTGAAATTGTGAACCTTGCCTTTGGAACAACAGGAAAGTAATTCATAAATGTAGTTAAGAGTGGAACTATGCCACCATTACACACTTGAACTATGCCACCATTACACACTTGAAAATGTTCCCATTCGTACGTTGTTTCATATCTTTCATCTACTGGTTTCTTTTAGTGCACTTTGGTATTTGCTCTGGTGAGATACACACCGCTTAAATTCAACAACACTTACGAATACCCGTGGTGGGGCTCCGCCATTGGGGGATTCCTCTCTCTGTCGACACCCGTCACGGTGCTGTTGAGGATGCTCTATGCTGTCAGCGTCACTCCTGGAAATCTGAGACAGGTAACGGATTTTGTTAGGAAAAAAAAATCCAGAAAAAAACGGCTGTTGTATTCTTGTAGAAGAAGAGAAAGGCGTACGAATCCAAGAATGGATTCCTCATATATTTTTGAGCACAGGAAGAACAAAGTTAATCCGGGTACACACGCTCCGATCGATAATCTGGCCAGTTCCCCTTTTTTGACCAAAGCCATCATCGACTCGATTGTTGGATTTCTCTAAAAGATTATCCCGCTCGGTGAAATGTGACGAGTGTTTGTGTCGTGTGTCTCCAAAGTCATTCACCACAATAAAAATGACGAGCAAACAAATTGCAGAGATAAATCAACGGCTAACATTTCACCATCATGCTGCCTGCGGATTGAAGGACATGAGTCGCCTGAGCGTGACATGTGATGTTGTATACTTAACACACACTTAGAGAAATTAAGTGTTGCATATTAATTAGTATCTTTTTCCCCTTACTTGGTTAAATCAATGTTGACAATCGTGAGAAACGATTACTGCTACCTGGATCAGTGTCTTTGCATAGATTATCATTAATTAGTAAGCATTAACATATGATTGAAAGTAATAAGAGCAAATATGGTATTCTAGAATTGTCTGTCAAACTGGTAGGCCTTTATATCAATCAGAACCCAACAGGTTGGTGACCCCTGGCCTAGCTTCTTCTTTTGTCTGGCTGCACCTAGCTTCTCCCTGCAGGACAACTTTGGTACTACACCAGAGATTTATGTTTTTTTTGTTGTTTTTTTTTTTTTTTTTAAATGAAATGAACACATAACCTTTATTTGTCCAGGTAAAGCAATTGAGAAGTACAGGTGTTTCTTTTATCCCTGCAGAGACTGAAAATTCTGTGCACACCAGCAAAAGAACTTCTTCCTGCATCGAGGAACGCATTAAATCAAGAAGAGGACTTTCAGACGTTTTTGCACGCCGGATGAAAGGAAATCATCTCATCACGGACAGAGCCAGAGCTCAGAGACGATGTCAAACTTCAGTGCTATTAGGACCCTTTGCTAATTAACATGGAGCTCCAATTTGACTACTTTTCCAACAGGAAATTCCCATCCATTTTCAATACAGTACCGCTTATCTTTACTAGGTCAGGACGGTAAATTTATGCATGTGTGCCTGTAAAAAAAAGTATATATTATTCTACAGAATGCAAACCCAACTCCTATTAGTGTGCAAAGTTGTATACAGTATATGCTACAGTATGTAGAATGTCTACTGTATGTAGTCCCTATGTATTATGTAACTTTTTTTTTTTTTTGGCTTTAGGCTTTTTGGAAATTTACAGTTCTTCATTACTGTACAAGTCTGTGAAATAACCATTTTGGAAAGCAAATAGATGTATTCCAAACAGTTCTGCCTCCTGAGGCACACAGTACTCTGTCCTAATCATATTGACATAATGCTGAATAGGAGAATTGCCAATGTCAAAGAAAAAAAAAAACACACACACAGACGGGCTTGCTTAAAAAATACTTTTTAAAAAATGTTGAATGGAGGCAACTGGCATATTTGGGCTTGTAGAATTGTTCTTTCCTCTTGTTTGCCAATCAATGTATCATCAACATTCTAAATATAAGAAATTTAGAACTTCTTGTTTATCCTTCCGCTTTTATCTGCTCTGTGTGGTTCTGCTGATTCTTTTATCCTTGTTGTCGTAGAAATAATCTCTCAAAACATACAATTTCCAGAATTTCCCTGACATGGCAGCTCACTTGTCATTGCTGCCTCCTTTAACAAGCTATGGCATGCATTTCTATCATGTTAAAAACAGTGCTGCTTTATGAACGCCGACAATGCAAATATGCTTTAAAAACATTTCTTACACTGTTAATTAAACAGTAAAGGCAAAAAAAATAAATAAACTAGAAACATTGGAAAATAATATAGGGCAGTTATAGGTTATCGGCCACCCTGACAGCACTGGGCAGCTCCTTCAGCAAGAGACTGATAAACCCGCGTTGCAAGAAGGAGAGGTACCGCCGCTCGTTCCTGCCAACTGCTGTCAGGCTACTGAATAGGCACACCTGAAAACCTGAACTCACCCCCCCACTCACCGATTTTAAATACCACAGCCACCTTATGCAGCATATATGCAGTTGCACGTATGCTTGTGTCTTACATTTCCATTCATCCATCCATCCATCCATCTTCTACCGCTTATCTGGGGTCGGGTCGTGGGGGCAGCAGCTTGAGCAGGGAAGCCCAAACTTCCCTCTCCCCAGCCACTCCTTCCAGCTCTTCCCGGGGGATCCTGAGGCGTTCCCAGGCCAGCTGGGTGACATAGTCTCTCCAGCGTGTCCTGGGTCGTCCCCAGGGTCTCCTGTCGGTGGGACATACGCGGAACACCTCACCAGGGAGGCGTTCAGCAGGCATGGACCACCACCCCGGTCTACCAATCCAGAGGCACTCTCCCCAATGACCACGCAATGTTGCAGAGGCGTGTCAACCAGGACAGCCCCACAACATCCAGAGACTTGAGGAACTCCGGGCGGATATCATCCACCCCTGTGGCCTTGTCACCAAGGAGCTTTTTAACCACATCGGTGACTACAACCACAGAGATAGGAGAGTCCAAAGACTCTGCTTCCTAAAGGAAGGCGTGTGGGTGGAGTTTAGGAGGCTGCAATTCCCCCTCTTTAGTACTGGGTAGTTACAGTGATGCCCTAGGTAAATTCTAATCTCGGCACAACTTCTGTTTCTGATGAAACTGTTCATGCTGCAGTAAATGTATTGACTTATGTTCAACAGGAACTACAATTAAGATTTGAAAGCACAACCAACAAACTCAGGAATTTCCCCTCAGGCTCAACCAAGTGCATCTGATGTTGCATTTGCATGTCAATTGTTAAATCTTCCTCACTTGTAAACCATTAAAAAACGTCTCCCCACACATCATCATCACATCATCGGTGCCCATCATCATTTTTATGTGATCATTTCAATTTTATTCAATTGCTAATTAAGATGACGACACTACACACACAAAAAATGCAATACAGTACTTGTTTCACTCACTGTTAAACTGTGACTATGTTATAGTTTCTAGTGTACATTTTTTAAACATTGACCACATTGCGGTGTAGAGTGGATTAGCCTCACTTGAAATTAGGGCTTCAACTGAGTAAAAAAAAAATAAAAATCTGGGCCTATGGATATGAAAGCCCACCTTGATCACCTGGCTTTTAGTTAACTTCTGATTGTACATCTTCGTTGAGATATGCATATTCCTATTTTATTATTTTACAGTGGATTTCTAAGAACTTTGTAATTTATTCGAACAAAATGTGACAGAAAGTTAATATTTTTACATAATAATATATGTCTTGCGTATGGCCCTCAGATGAACAATCATCTATTTGATTGTAGGCCACTTGTGGAGGAAAATCAGTGAGGCTTTCATTTGCTGTATGTGTACAAAACCACATGTAGAGGTGTCAAATTATCGCGTTAAAAACAGTAAGACTTTAAAATGCCACTTTTTTGTGATATACCTTTTGATTTGCCTCAATAATGTAATGAATTTAAAATGAAAATAGTTTTCTCAGCAATTTTTAGATGAGATTAAAATATAGATTAATTAGATCAATTAATTACAGATCACAATTAATTAATCTCACAATGTATTTTTTTAATCGCTTGACAGCACTGTGTATTGTTCCATCACAAATAGAGTATTTATTTCCACTAGTCTGACATCTGTGCTGGCAGTGTGGCTTGATTCCCGCGCAATAACGGTGAGTGTGAATAGTTCGTCTGCATCTGTAGCAAATGTGCCCTGTGTTTGAGTGACCAGTCTCAGGTGTGCTGCATGTATTCTTAAGTTAGATACAAGGCTCAAACTCCTGGCGTGAACCTGGACAAAAAAAGCCAATAGTGAACATGGATAAATGAAGGGTTGTATTGTTTTGTTTTTTTAGCATTGAGGGCTCTTAACCTCATTTGCTGAAAACGTGTCAATGGGCAGGGTTTTTTTTTTTTTTGCTCTCTGAAATGCCCTAAATTTCCACAAGATGGCGCAAATTTGTGCCTGTCTTAGTTTACACTGGCACAAGCGTCAAGTGCCAATACTGTCCATTTTTTTTCTTCTTGTGGTCTTTTGTGTTTATAGTTAAAACGAAATATTTTCCTTATTTAACCCTTACTATTATATAAGCTTGAGATTTTTGCTTTTGTTCTATTCACCTATTAATTTTACTTTTGGTCAAACCGGACATTACATTTTATTTTAATATTTCATTTAGAACATTGCAGCATTATCACTTGTGGCCCTACCGATCATGGTAAGTGGACTTCTGATTCCTGGACATCAGTATTTGTGGCCCGTTTAATATCTTTCAAATTGTGAGAAACTCCTCTTATACAGTAAGTGTGTGGTGTACAGTACTAGTGATGACCAACACAGCACACAACACACATAAACAATGCCTCCACCGATAATTGCGAATCTCCTTCCCCACACTAGAGTTGATGTCTGTCATAATACCAAGACTGACCTGTAAAAGGTACCACATTTGGGATAAAAGAGGAAGTGAAAGGAGCAAGACTCAACGTTTTCTTATCTGGTAAGTGGAAACTCTTGTCGTCTATTTTATTGGGGTTAATGGCAGGTTATAAAAAGACTCAATGCCAGTTTATGCTTAGTAGCCCCAAATGTTTTCCCGGTACATAGTGGATAATGCACAGTGGTGCCTTGAGATACGAGTGAATTGACTTATGAATTTTCTGTGATACGAGCCATTATTAGACCAGATTTCAGGTCCAACTTGTGAGTGCAAACATGACATACAAGTGTTGTATCGTGGCAGTGAACTCAAGTCAATTCATTCATTCATTCATTTTCCGATCCGCTTATCCTCACAAGGGTCGCGGGGGGTGCTGGAGCCTATCCCAGCTGTCTTCGGGCAATAAAGTAGAGTACTAGTTACCTTATTTTTCAGTTTTGTTTCGTTTATTTGATTGCCCCTTGAAAATAGAAACCACAAATGACACATGGATTCTGCCAAAATGGTTAGGAAGTAAACCAGCTCTTGTCTGTGTAACCGTGCAACCTTGTCGAATAGATCCCGCCTTCATTTCTAGCCTCTGAAACAAAACCATGCCCCCCTGCGCCCACCCCCTTCTGTCCCCCACTTTCCCCCAACCTCACCCTCACCTCCTCTTGTCTCCCAACCAGTCCATCTTGCTTTCTCTCTGAATCACATGTGCAACGCTCACCCCATGGGCTTGCCCCCTGATCACAGCTACACCTACTTTCACTCAGATGAGGGCCACCTCAGGATGAATGAAGTGCCACCCGCAACTACAGACTGCTGACGTTGGGAGCGCCGTTTTCAGGTACTATCTATGCCTTTTCATTCAGGCCACATGCTTTGTTCTTCTCCGCGTGATGTGTATGCGCTGCTTTCATTATTTTTGGACAGGAACGCGGGCGTTTTAAGGAGCAGCTGGGCTTTTGTGTGCTTGTGCACTTATCCTTGCCGCTCGTCGTCTCATTATGTAGGCCAAAGGTTACAGACTACCCAGCAGCGGGAGCGGTTATTTCACTTGTTGAAAATAACCTGTGCATTCTTTTGGAAAGCATTTTAGTATGCTGGACATACTCAAGTAGTGTAGTCAAACAGCAATCAACAAAGCTATGCTGTAGAAATAGTTGGGTAGATTAAAATGCTAAACTAATAATTGGTGGGGATAAATATTTTATCCTGGCTAAATTTGAATATCATGTAGTGATGCTATTCTAAGATGATCAACAGCTGTTCATCTGTGTGTAGTGTGTGTGATTTGGCAGTCGGAGAAAATTGAGATCATTTTGCCTACCGCTTGTGCCAGGTACCCCAGGTTATGCCAAATTTTTGAAGTCTGGTTCAGGAGCGGGTCGAAATTCAGACCGATGACGGACTCGCATGCTTAGTGGAACATCATAATGACTGGGACTCTGTTGAGTCTTGTTTAGCTTGTTTCTCACCCACACAGAAAGGTTTCATTTATCATCCAGTGACAGTGAATCAGTTGGAGGCAATAGCGAATTGCGTGTTTTTGTTAATCCTGCAGATTATTTACTCAAACAGTAATTTGGTCATGAAAAGCATTTGACTATGATTTTGGAAATTATTTGTAAAAGGCATTTCAAAACTGTTGTAAATGAACTGATGACACACAGACTCTGAGGAAATTCACATACAGCATCAGCACCATGCGAACACACTTTTGTTCTTCTGTATCTAACCTAATGCTTACAAAAAAAAACCCTATCACCGATGGTTTTCAATTTCCATTGTCCAAAGTAGAAGAAAACAAAGTTTTGGTTCGCGGCAAGCCAAGTACTGTAATTTGTAGAGTCACTAGACCAGAGGTGGGCAAACCTAGTTGTTTATTTGAAGTTGTCTAATTTACTTTTTTTTTGGGGGGGCAGGGGGGCTATGAATCAATTAAAAAATGATAAAACATATTAATCTTAACGAACCAGTTTTAGGGCAAACAGCTAAATTGATGCCTCAATATTACAGGACATTTGATAATGTAAATGCTCGTGGGGCGGTTTAAAGGACAGTCTGTTTGTGGCCTGCGGACCATACTTGTCCCACTCCCGCATTGTTGTTTCTAATTAATGTATATTATGGAGTGCATTCGTAAAGTTGATGCCAAGATGATAACACAATACCCACAATGGTTTTTGGATGTGATCCAATGTGAACTGAAAGATATGATGGCTGGAAAGAGAGAAACTCCTCTCATCTCAACATGTTCTGCAGTGTCCTTTTTTGGGTCTGCTCAGCGGGATGTGGCGTCCTCCTCGCCAAGTGTCAACAGCATAGGCGGCTGATTAAAATGCTTGCTCTGAGAAAGTTGTTTTCAAGCTGCCCTTTCGGATCACAGCTGCGACAAACTGTGGCCTCTGCATTCCTGTGGCGTGCACTTGGAAATCTCAACATAGCAGTGCCCAGATGTGACAACTTTGCGTATTTGTTTTTTTTTCTTTCAAGGGAGCAGCGATGGGTGAAAGATGCTAGTTTGTGTGGACCAGTGCACAATACATGTGGCTTTTTACACAAAATGAAAGCCTCACTGATATTCCTCCACTAGTGGCCTGCAGTCAAACAGATTATTGTTCATCTGAGGGCCAAAAGTAAGACATTTTATTATGTAAAAATATTAACTATTTCTGTAGCATTTTGTTCGAATAAGTTACAAAGTGCTGAACAATCCACTGTAAAACAATAAAATAAGAATATGCGTATATCAACAAAGCTGTACAATCAGAAGTTAACTAAAAGACAGGTGATCAAAGTGGTCTTTAATATCCAAAGGCCAAGATTTTTTTTTTTTTTTTTACTCAGAATTAAAGACCCGAGTTCAAGTGAGGCTAATCCACTGTACCTCGTAATGTGGTAAATGTTTAAAAAATGTACACCAGCAACTCTACATTAACATAGTCACAGTTTAACAGTGAGTGAAACAAGTATTGCTTTTTTTTGGTGTAGTGTAGTCATTAGCAACAGAATAAAATTCAAATGATCACTTCAAAATGATGATGTGCACTGATGATGTGATGGTGATGTGTGTGGAGACATTTTTTATGGTTTACAAGTGAGGAAGATTTAACAATTGGCATGCAATTGCACCATCAGATGCACCTGGTTGAGCCTGAGGGGAAATTCCTGAGCTTGTTGGTTGTGCTTCCTTTCAAATCTTAATTGTAGTTCCTGTTGAACATAAGTCAATACATTTACTGCAGAATAAACAGTTTAACAAGAAACAGAAGTTGTGCCAAGATTAGAATATACCTAAGGTGTCACTGTGACTACCCAGTAATAAAGAGGGGGAATTGCGGCCTTTAGTAGGAAATGATAAATAATGAGAGTAAAACATAATGAGATGGTCTGTATACAAAATAAAACAAATAAAAATCAGTTCTGAATCATCTTTTTAATATCGTTAAATCTCTAAAACATACACAAATAACTGCCAACGAAGTGTAAACCTACCTGCAGTAATACCAGCATCTTCTCCACCAGTAGCATTGTTATCTTCAGCTGCTGTTGGAATTGTTTTCTTTTCTACAGCTTTGATCCTTTCTAGAGCCGTGGAGATCACACTGTGAAAAGAATACATATGAATATGAATATGAAAATGCCACACTAGAAGGCTGAAGCCCAGATTCAAACCACCAGGATCGGAACTGTGACTCGCATTGCTAATTAGCCGCAAGGTCACCGTGCCACCTGTTAAAAAAGAATATCTATCGATAGATAGATAGATAGATAGATAGATAGATAGATAGATAGATAGATAGATAGATAGATAGATAGATAGATAGATAGATATACATATGTCAACTGAAAAATATGACATATTCAAAATATGGCACTGTCAATTGAAAAATACATTAGGTTGTTCAGGGCTCAGGTAACGGCCAATCACGGCTCACCTGTTTTCTAAAGTTAGTAAGGCCGCATGGAACTTATTATTGTAAAGAAAATTCTGGGATTGACTTCCCCTTTAATGCATGTAATGGATTGCCAAAATTACAATCAGTCCACGGAGTCGGTAAACATTTGCCAGTGAGTTACAAAGTTCCAGTACATAGTTAATGTGTTTCATTCCATTCTTTTATTCTTCAGTCACGTTGTGTATTGTAATGAACAGAGGTGTGTGCGGGTTTTATTATGTGTTGCCGTTGAGGTGTTGTTGGCAAACACCGTCAAGTTGTGTTCTTTTGACTGCTTCCTTCTCCGAGTTTCTGAACGTTTCACTCTGTACAAAAGTGGAGTGGGAGTGTGTGCTTTTTGTGTTTTGGTGTCTCTACGGCCTTACAGTAGCCATGTTTTCGTTTAATAATAGAAGGGAGTTCGGTGATCCAGTCTTAGTAATTTATGTGAGCGTAACCAAACATGACATTGTGTGAAAATGTTAACTCAGACACACTCTGTAACCTGTGTGTGCTAATTTAAGATAATCAGGCATCAGCCACAATATGGCCTCCTTTTCGTTCATTGCCGTCCTGCCATGAAAGGCAGGTTTGCATCACATTCAGTATACTTGGTAAAATGCAGCCTAACTTTCGGACTCTCTTGCTAACGCGTGTTAGCCGTGACACTGCCAAAGTGCCCCTGTTTTACAGCACGGATGACACAGATTACAACTACTACACATGTGCATCACAGGTAGACAACCGGCTACCGGGAATGACGGGAGAGGAGGTAGTTTTGCAACTGCATAAATAACGATGATGTTGACTACGAAATCGGCCATCAACGGATTCGGTTGTCGACAAAGTTGTGACTAGTCGATTAATTATGGCAATGCGTAAGCCTTTAAAAGGCGGTTCTGCTCTGTTGAGTGACGTGGAAGTGAATGTATTGGTAGCCAGGATTTGGCTAATATGGCGTACAGTGACAGTTTCAGTTGAGGGGTGTCCCAGACTGTGATTTTGATGACTGTGTTTGTTAGCGTTTGTTTAATAAAGCGACCGAAAGAACAGCTGTTTCCGTCTTTCCTCTATCCATACCAGCTTTTATGAATTTCACTTCATTCTAGTTAGCTGTGGTAGGCCATATTCAATGAGCTGATGACGTTTCCTTCATTGGAGACATGCAGTTGAGTACCTGTACTGTACAATTAAAAACATATATAAAACACAATCCTCAATGCATCGAACCCACTTAAGTGAACCGTAATATAGTGCGAGACAGCTGTGTCTTTTGTAGACTTGCCAAAAGTTGTTTGGATTTCTTCCAAAACTGCCCACTCGAGGTGGAAGTGACCACTGGATTCATCCTCTGGCTTGCTTGTTTTTCATGACAAAGTATTGTTACGATTGAGCACTTCTGTGGCCTTCAATATTGGTTGCCCTGGAAGGTCACAAAAGCGATGATGATGATAGGAGTCCTATATAATTGTAGTCTATTTTGCCGGAGGGGGCGCAAAGCTATATTTGTCACTTCTGCCAGTCATACATAATATGTATAACTTGAGATTGCCAGGTCACGAAAAAAAAAAAAAAATCAAACAGTGTGATGCATGAGTTTGATGGGGCCCCTAAGCGTATGCTCCAGTGGTGTACAGTGCACCCCTAGTAATTCATACTGACAAATTTGCCTGTTCATTGATTTTTTTTTTTTTTAAAAGAAATTATCCTCTGATATTCACTGAAAAACTCACATATTTGGACTTCTGTGCTTATCCAATGCTGTCTATAATAAAACATAATATATAATCATATATAATATTCTTTCGGAGGCCATCTTTTGGCATCTTAGGGCCACAATTATGCTGCAGTGAGAGGAGGGGGTTCATTTAGTCAGGAGATTGCCTTGTCGAATAAAAGAACAAAGTGCTTTGCCACCATCAGGTGACATTTGCTGGCAATTAAAAAAAACCTTTGGAATCAATCGATTTTTGTGGGCAGGGCTCTATACACTCTACACAGATATTGAGAACAATGGGGAGCAATTTGAAAAAAAAAATTCTGTTGAGTTCGGTTTTTATGCTGATGAAAACTAAAATTGGCATGCTGAGTCCAAAATTGCAGTCAGTTTTGTTTTCTAGAACGTCAATTTTTTTTTCTCCGCAGCTCACCCTCCAGGTCAGCAAAATTCCACTGGTTAGCTGTCAGACTCTAATTAAAAAAAAACTGCTCATGATAGGACTCATCTACAGCTACATGGCAACTCGTTCGTGCAGTCACAACGGAAAGAATGAGGTGAAAATGTGTGCAGCTCCCAATAGGTGAGTACCATCAATATCTGCAACAGAAAGAATGATAGCATAGAAGGAATTAATGGAATTAGTCCTGATTTTTCTTTAACCTTGTAATTATGTGGATACGTTGTAAGTTCTATTTTGTTTTATGCAGTTAATTTTTTTTAGTTTTTAAAGTTTGTAACGATTCCATTGTAGTCTTTTATTCACTCCATGCTCATTAATTTCCTATTTTTGAAGAAATATCCTACAGCATAAAAACTTAGGCGTAATAGATAAAATATTTGATCCGTTTTGGATTCCGCACCCAAAAATGAGTTAAACAGTTGTCAGCCCTAACTCAACAAAAATTGTTCCCCAGTGAAACTGATACATATCAAGAATCACACACAGGCACACACATGCACACACATGCACACACATGCACACACATGCGCATACACACATGTCACAAAAGAATGTACAAAAAGAAAAACTGCCATATGTATTTCATTAAAGAGCCAGAGGCATTCCATAGGACTCATGCCGTTATTACCAAAGGAAAAAAAGTACAGTTACCTCAATCTTCTAAGAAATCCCCTTCCAAGCAAGAGCAAAACCTCTAGTCTGCATGACAATATAACAGTTGACAATCGATATTTATCAATACAAAAACGTGAAATAAATTACAAAGCACTTAGCCAGTGACACCGTTGGTTGACCTGCCCTCATAAAGTCCAGTTTTTCTTGAAAAGTGCGTCATAAAAGTGAATGTTTAAACATAATCTGACATCGTCCTCCAGCGTGAAATCATGCCTTGATGCACATCGAGCTCAACCAATCAGAAGCGTAGCTGACCCAATGAGAGGACAGTAAAACTCACTTGTCACTGGGTTTTTTAGAAGACGCTGAGAGATGAATCTAAAATCTTGATTGGCTAAAAGAAGAAACTGTGATTTCCTCCTTGTGGAAAATATGTGCATGGCAACACATCGAAGCCTAAATTTGGTTGGACAAAAAAAAGAAAAAAACAATACCCGCAAACGATTGGAAGCCGGACAACCAAGACTATGAAATGAAGGCAAAAGACTGTTGGGAGTAAATATTTGCCATTTCATACAACGCAGGGCTGTGCTCCTGATAGTGGGCCCGCAGGGAAGGCCTTGAAGACCCCGACGACATGCCACTGGATTTTATGTGCCATTATGCTCTCAAGATTGTACTTTTAATTTTGTAATTTGGTTATCTGTGGATTTTTTTTTTTTTTGGTCCTCGTCAAAGATAGAGCTTCATCAGTGGGGTTGATGTCAAAACCCTTTGACCTCCATGTTGTGTTTTAACTCATTTTATTGAAATGAAACCCCAATTACATTGACTGTATGAAGAGTAATAAACCGTGACCCACCCCTCAGTAGGTGGAGTCAGTTCCGATGTCACGTATTCTTTATTAGGCCGCCGCTGACCTCATTGTTGTCGCTTATGAGGTCACTGTGGTCGATACATCATTCAGTGCATTGTCGTAGTCGCGCACATATTTGCAAGATAATTTGCCACGCTCCCACACTAAAGCCAAAACAGCCACACAGAAGCAACATTGAGGAGAGAGCCCCTCTGTTGCCAAGCAGCTTGACCCACTGGTGACCCAATGGTAGCAAGACTGCGCTCATTATGTTCACAGTGTGAAAAGTTCCATTTCCATGGACCAACCGAAATCACTGTTCTCCGAAAGCAAGTATCAAAACCACATCACGACACTATGTGCATTAGTCATCTCTCAGCTAAACAAGACCAAAAAAAAAAAAAGATATTTTTATTTTCATTCTGGAGCAGAGCTGTTAAAATGAAAGCTGGGAAAATGATCGCGTGACAAACAGTGGAGCCAACAACCAGCCAAGTATTTTTGCACCAGCAACAAATAAGTTCAAAGCGGATTCAATTCTTAATAGTGTACATTTCTTTGATATGTATATAGGTGTCGTTTATTACTTCTTGTGGACATAACGCTGTAATTGCTGTTTGAGTTTAGCCTATGTTCCAGTTTCCTGAAACCTGCTGAACTCTTTTTGCTTCCATGTGTCAGCTGCTGTTTGGCATTCCCTCGAGTTTCCTGACCTCATGCTCAGCTGCTTCCACTTCTCTCACTGTAGTTCAGCGTATTTATAACGCTCTACTGTCATGTGTCCAGCTCCACTTCTGTCAGTTGTTGATGGTGTTTTTTGTTGTTTTTTTTTTTTTAACTGGTCCCGCTTGCACGCCGAGCTATATTACTAGCATCTTTGGCATTTTGGATGTTTTGGATTCCCAAAAGTTTGCACATTCTCAATTTGCAAACTTGGAGTAGTCGGCCTTTTAGTCCATCCCACAGATGAACACTGCCACATATGAAACTGAGAAGACATAAAATATGCCTGCAATTTTTTTTAAAATAGCCAGCATATTTATTTGGCATTGATGTATGGATTTCTATGCTTCCGTTCATCTTAACCTTGGTATATTGTTGCAGTGCCATGGAAAAGCTACATGACCAAGAGGTCAAGTTCAAGGCGAGCAGGGAAACCGCCTCGCCGGGACCCATCGTTGTTGCCAGAGGAGAGTGGTCCAACAAAATGGAGTTCCTCCTTGCAGTTGCAGGACAAATCATTGGACTTGGAAATGTGTGGCGGTTTCCTTACCTGTGCTACAAAAACGGAGGCGGTGAGTTGGGAAAAACAACTTGAACGTCAATAAAGAAAAACAAAAGCCCAAAACAACTCGGATGCTTTGGATGGCAACGACAGTTAAATATTGTGAGCCTTAATTCTAATTCATTCATTCGAATTGAGAAGACTTTTATTTTACTTTTAAGACTTTAATCATTTCACATACCAATGTAGGGGAGGCTCATGTCTGCTGTGTATTTACCATTTGTGTTGTTTTCGTATGGAATATAGAATAACATATGTCTTTCTTTTTTTTCCCAACAGGGGTATTCTTTATCCCTTATGTGCTCTTCCTCTTTGCATGTGGCATCCCTCTGTTTCTGCTGGAGACAGCTCTCGGCCAGTACACTAAGCAGGGCTCCATTACTTGCTGGAAGCAAATATGTCCGCTTTTCGGAGGTAAATATTCACTCCTGAGTCACAACATTATGTACCACTGCATGATAACAACCTGAACAAGAACTCTGAGGGGGAAAAATGTTATTCTATTTTGAGAGGTTTTCATTTAACATGTTTAATATTGTCACCGCCTTATTGCTTTCACGTGCAATTTGGGCGGGCTCTGCAATTCTAGTTGGTGGTTGCAAAACAATTATTTACATCACGATAGCAGTAACCGTCTGCCATATTTTCTTAATGCACAAAACTAGCATTTTACAAGTGAGTCAGTGCCTCAAGTGTTTTCTGTGAAGTAATGCAAAAGAATAATGCAACCCAGTTTTCATGTCGTCTGACCTTTTGACGTTAGGTTGCACTAAAATTGCCTCTTGTGAGACTTTTCGTGGCATACACACAGAAAAAGATTCTTTTAAAATGTATTTGTTAGTTTTTTTTGAGGGGGGGAGTACATCATGGCACATCATTTTGAATATAGACATCCATTTTTGTATTAACTCCAACTGATGGCGGCATGTCTTCGGCGGTAGTGGTTGTTACCCAAGCACCTGTGACCATGCCAAAGTGTCCTTGAACAAGATACCGAACCTCCAGTTGCTCCTGATTCTGTGTCATCAGTCGTTGAATGAAGGGACATCACTTGATGTGCCAATTTGGAATGTCAATATTTTCTCTGTTTTTTTTTTTCCCCCAATCTCTTAGGAATGGGTTATGGAAGTCAGGTGGTAGTTTTATACTCCAGCATCTATTACATCATCATATTGGCGTGGGCATTCTTGTACCTCTTCTCTTCCTTCAGCTCTGAACTTCCATGGGCTAGTTGCCGAAACAGCTGGAACACAGGTATGTAAGACCCACACATTTCGGCCATCAGCGAAGATGGTTGGTAATTCGCGTACTCTAAGAGACTATTAGTTTGCTACACTAAGATTATAATATATTGCATGCAGGTTAATGTAACTGTAACAACAATAACAGACTGCTTAAGGGTAGTGTCGTCCACAAATTAGCATTTATGGCACTGGGAGAGGAACATGGATGTATAAACAACACTGCAGATTGCAGTTCATTAAAATGTACACTGTACACTAATGTGCCCCACTCTGTTTGGGAATCAGTGTTCCAAAACGGGTTTTGAACTCCTGTTTAATTTGATATACTGTATATTCAAATGTACACTATTTTAACTTACCATTATTATTTCTTTGAGTTAATATCACCATAAGGTGCCTTTGAGACTTCCTCATTTCACACCAAAAAAAAGTTGAGATTTTCTATTCAACTTCATGGTCATGAATGATATTAAGCAGACGTTATATTGTTCACGTTACATATTTGGTCAAGCTGCCACACATTTTCAATGAATTAACTGCAAGCAGACAGTGTAAATGCCAACAGCAAAATATATGAGATTGAGCCCACCCCAAAATGTTTGGGGCACCCAGAAAATCTTCGCATGTTTCCCTCCAGATCAACAACCATGAAGGACACCAATGGCACCTTACAGTGATATTGACCTGTTCATGAAAACGTGTGAAAAATATCAGATTTTGATTTCATATTATAAAATGTTTGAATTCATGCTGTACTGTATGTTGCCTGTCTTTGCAACAGACACTTGTGTGGAGTTCAGTGAACGACGTGCTCTCAACTGGACTGTGCCGGAAAATGCAACATCACCAGGGACAGAGTTTTGGGAGTAAGTTCATATGTTTAATGAAAAGAACAAAAAAAAGGCGAGAAAAGTGCCTGATGTTAATGGAAATGCGATCCACAGGAGAAGAGTTCTGAACGTGACTGGAAATATCGAAGACTTGGGTGGTGTTCGATGGGAGTTAGCCCTCTGTCTACTTTTGTCTTGGATCATTTGTTACTTTTGCGTGTGGAAAGGCGTGAAGTCCACAGGAAAGGTACAACGTAGATGTCTGTCTGTCTGTCTGTCTGTCTGTCTGTCTGTCTGTCTGTCTGTCTGTCTGTCTGTCTGTCTGTCTGTCTGTCTGCTCCCAGCCAGGGGAGAGTTCTGCATAAGAACTCAGTCTTATGATTCCTTTCACTTTCATCATGTGTATTCATCATGTGATCGTCTGGTTTTCCGTCTCTACTTGTACATACTGCTGCATGGAAGGGGGTGTACAAAATTTTAAAACATCATCACTACAAGTCAGTACTTTTTGGGGGGAAAAAAATCTGTTTTTGTGTTTTTACTGACTAGGATAACGTTGCGCACAAAAAAAAAAAAAAAAAACTGCACTCTAAAGAAAATGAATGACCACTTGTTTGGACAGGTTGTGTATTTCACGGCCACATTTCCGTATGTGATGTTGGCTGTGCTGCTTGTCCGTGGACTGACACTGCCCGGGGCCATAGATGGTGTCAAGTTTTACCTCTACCCGGACGCATCTCGCCTATCTGATCCACAGGTATGAGCCTCTGAACCAAAAATGATTAAGCTAAAAGTCAATTGTGATTGGTTGAAGGGAAGCAGGGAGGCAAGGATCAGGAAAAAAAAGTGAATATTATTATTATTTATTTTGTTTAAATCTGATTTACAAATGTCAAGTCATTACAGTGACTGTAGCTACTGGCCTATAGTTGCATTTAGGTCCATGTTGGAATTTTTCATCTATACACCCATGTATTTTCTATAGAGCTTGTCAAAATTAGGGTGGCGGTTACCAGGAGAAAAAAGCCACAGAATAAGAGAGACAACATGCAAATGGCCGCAGTTATGACTGGAACCCAGAACTTTTTGATTGAGAGGCAGGTGTGCTAACCATGAGCACACTGTGCCGCCCATTTTGAGTTTTCACTTTTATCATTCATTTCATGTTGGCCATCACTTTAGTTGTAACGTTCAGTACTTTTTTAAAAATTCACTTTTCCTAAATCTTACTGCGCTCAACCAGCATTTGTTTTGTCCCATTTAATCAATAAATAAATGAAGTAGCATTTTCCACTGACTCCATCATTCAGTGTTTGCCTTTCACGTCTCTCATGATGTCCTTTCCTTGCAGGTCTGGATGGACGCTGGCACTCAAATCTTTTATTCCTATGCTATTTGCATTGGCTGTTTGATGGCGCTCGGCAGTTATAACAAGTATAACAATAACTGCTACAAGTAAGTTGACATAAAACCTCTCGTGGCTTCAAATTAATCATTTAATGAGATCCAATACAAAGGCTTTGTCAAACATTCTGCCTTTTTATCCTAACTCATCTAGCTTTTAAGTTAATTCTTTCTATTTTACTTGAGGGTCAATCCCTGGCTTATACTATGCGATTGCAAATATTTTCAAGCCCTACACATCAGCATAGCGGTTGAAGTAAACATTGCGTGACCCCACGCCATTGTTCTGTTTCACGAATATACTTAACCTTGCAAAAAAAAAAAAAAAAAAAGACTAGAGCACTGTACACAGAACATGACCCACTTTGTAGAAACAACACAATGCCACAGAGGAAACGGGAAAATGATAGCAATTTAAAAAGTAAAAACAGCCAAAAACAACAATCAGAGGAGCCACAGGAAAGTATAGAAAACAATCCAAAAAGACCAGTCGTCGCGTCAGTTTTACACAGTCATTTTAGAAAATTAACATAAGTGCCGTTTGTTTTTACGGCCCATCAAAAGTTGTTCAATTAAATGGATCTTTTGTTTTTCTGGGGTTTGGCAACAAAACAACAGATGTCTTGTGAAAGAAGAAAACAAAAACAAAAATAAAAGCATCAACAATGCGAAGCAGCTCTGAGCAAAAAGGGGCAAAAAGACTAATCACAAAGTTGAGACACAGCTTGGCGTTTAAGTTGTTGTGGTGTACCCACCACTGTTATTAACTTTGGTTTCAATGAATTGTTTGAGATGAGGAAATCACCAGTGCATCCTTCTACTTCAATATCCAACTCTCATGATATGATATCAGTGTAGAGTGAACATTTTACATTTTCCATAAATTTCACCTGAGGGCGAAATATCCCTCACTTTTTGTGAGTAGTGTAAATACGGTTTCACATGCATGCGGTTTTTCAAGCTGTGTCAGAGGCAGTAGAGCAGGGGTGAGCAATTCTGATCCTTGAGGGCTGATATCCTGGATTTAAATTTTTTTTATTTGTATGTCTCCCTGCTCCAAAGCTCATGATTCAACCGATAAGCTCATCAGTGTTGGAGTAGGGAGACATATAAAGCATCCAGCATACCGGCCCTCGAGGACCGGAATCATCCACATCTGTACTAGAGTCTCGTGGTGAGCATCTCTGCAACGCTCTTTTTAGGTTTAGAGTTCGAATCTGGGCACTGACTTGAAGTTTCTCTGTTTTCTCTGTGCATCTCTTTTTAGAGACTGCTTCTACTTGTGCCTCCTGAACAGCGGGACCAGTTTTGTGGCCGGTTTTGCTATCTTCTCAGTTCTCGGATTCATGGCTTATGAACAGAACACAGACATATCCAAAGTAGCAGAATCAGGTAAGACGACACACATTGTACCTGTGAGTGAATGCGATCACAGCATGCATGACGACACACACTCAAACAAAAGGACTGTTTTTTTCGCCGCAGGTCCCGGCCTGGCTTTCATCGCTTACCCTCGAGCCGTGGCCATGATGCCGTTTCCACAGATTTGGGCCATTTTCTTTTTCATCATGATCATCCTCCTTGGATTGGACAGTCAGGTTGTGCATTTTTCCATTGTTTGTCACATATGCTAATGAGCAGATAAGAAAAACCCCAGGTCAGATTTGGTGCATTTAAACCACAACAATCAGCGTATGGTTATTAAATATCATGAAATACCTCACAGACAAATGGCAATCAAGATTGAGTATGATTTTTTTTTGTAAAGGCACAACTTTTGTGTTGGAACTCATTTGTTGCGCAGGTGCACCTAACGTGTTTAATGAGCATATAGGGGTACATCAGGGTCGAGTGGTTTGAGGACAGCAGTCATGAACAGATCAAAGAAATCAGCAAAGTGTATGTAAATGTGGATAGTATGTAACATAAATGTCTCTCCTTCAGTTTGTTGGTCTGGAAGCAATTGCAACTGCTATTTGTGACCTGAAACCTTCCATCTTCCACGTCGGCCATAGACGCAAACTACTTCTTCTGCTCATCAGTATTTTCTGTTTCTTCATTGGCCTCATAATGGTCACTGAAGTAAGGCAGAATTATGCTTCCTCTAACGTGTTGACTTATCCTTAGATTCGTTCATTCTAAAGGTGACTCTTGTTGCACACACAGGGAGGATTGTACATCTTTCAGTTGTTTGACTATTACGCCTGCAGCGGGATGACTCTGCTTCTCTTTGCCATACTTCAGTCCGTGTGTATTGGATGGGTTTATGGTCTGTAGATTTCACATTTGAATGGGTCCTGCACTCTTCATTCAAACTTGCTGACCGTCATTTCACCATGTGATCACAGGAGCAGATCGTTTCTATGACAACATCGAGGACATGATTGGATACAGGCCTTTACCACTGATTAAACACCTCTTGAAATATGTCACCCCGGTAATCTGCATGGTGAGTAAACATTCAGTCTGACTTGCCAGCTCTACAACAGGAAATAATACTGTAGTTGACTCAGTTGAAGATTAACTTTACCCTCATTCCACCGACCTTGATTTTAAGATAGTTAATGAAAACAGCCTGGCAAGGTTTGGCAAGTTTTGAGAGGCAATGATTTTGCTATACGGGTTGAAAAGTATATCTCCAGTTGGTGTTTATCAACATTTTTCATCTGTAATCTTCAAAAAACAGTCATAATATTCAGTCAGCAACCGTTGTGATTCTCCTTACCTCCACTGAAAGAAAAATACAAGGGTTTTGCAAAAATATTTTCAAACACAGTATTCCCAATACAAATTGCTTACACCTTTGGATAGAGAAAAACTAAACTTAGGTTCGATTACAACTAATTGAGACTGAATTACAGCGCCTCCGCTGATTGCAGCCAAGTACTGTTGTGCACTTGGCTCAACTGTTTCAAAACGGGATTAGCAACAATCGACTAATTTCAGCAATTAATTATTGTGCCCTTTCCTAAATTGACATGATCAGATTAGCCTTACCTGGATAAACGAAGGTCAAATAAATAAATAAATTTGCAGGCATGTTCTCGGCACACAAAACAAATATCACTGAGTATTTCCCCGCTCAATGAAAAGCATGTACGGTTCCGGTTCATGAATTAATAGCTTTGAATACATGGACTAGACTATAGCACCACCTAGAGGATGATAGCTGTATAAATGAAATAGAAAATATCTTTCAAGTTTGAAATGTATCTTTTCTTTGTTGTCCTTAGTAGATGCTACTAGCTAACAGTTACTGTTGCTGTGTTTAGCCATGTGGTTAGCCGTGTGTTTGAAGGACAAGAGGAAGAACAATTCGTGAATATTCGTCACTTTTTTTTCCAAATATTTGAAGTCATATTTATTTTATAGTATTCACTTTATGATTCCATGTTGAAGCAACAGCCATGATTGAGCCACTGTATCTTCACTGAAAAATGTTCTATGCTTGCCGCTTTTTTTCAGGGAACATTTATCTTCTCCTTGGTTAAATACAAACCTCTGAAATTCAACAACACCATTGAGTATCCGTGGTGGGGTTATGCTCTGGGCTGGTGGTTCACTCTGTCTTCCACACTTAACGTTCCCCTATGTATGGTGTATAACCTGATTACCACTCCCGGCACACTTCGTCAGGTAAAATTTTGATTTCAATTCTATTAATTATAAACGCTTTAATGGATTCTGTCCCCACAAAATGTTTTTCCCGTATTAGTAAACAGTCAACATTCTTTCTTGCTAGCGGGTCGCCATCCTTTGCAGTCCATCGGAAGATCTTCTGTCGCCAAAATCAGAAGAGAAAGTACTTGACCTGCTCCACATGACTCACAAATCAGATGCCATATTGTGAAAACGTCGGGCATGTCCATTGAAACTATGAGACACAACTTTAAATATCTTTGCAAAATCAAAGATGGCATTCACAACCTGGTTTTCTCCTTTGGAACCAAGGTACAGCAGTTAGAAATATAACCAATCATGGAGTCATTGTTTGTCCATTCCTATCCTCCAATATTTGGTGGTTCACATAAAGGGAATTTAAAAAAAAGGAAAAAAAAGTGGGTTGTAAAGGTTTGCCAAAAGCAATTGCAATAATGAAAATGCAGTGCCTTGAAACTTTTGGATTTTTAAATAGTTAAATTGTTTATGCTTTACTTTGATATAGTAAAATTGTTTATACTTTACTACCGAGGTCAAGAACATATAGAACTTGGCTCGGGGTCCAATAATCACAAATCCGTTTTTATTCTCTCAAAAGCATTATTAAACGTCAAATTTATGAGGATAATTCTTTGTTTCATTGAAGTATTTATGGAAAAGTAGGTGCCATTGGCATACAATACAGATAAACTGTTTATCAGTACTGTACATCCTTGAAAGTGGAATAAAGCAAAAGTGTTGAGTCTTGACAAATAGACCTTGTGCGCACCTCAGCCATGTGAGCCAATGACGGCCTTTCCAGATTCTATACAAGTGCCTTAACCAAAAAAATATGGTCTCGAGTAGTGTCAAAACATTCATTCATTCATTTTCTGATCCGCTTTATCCTCACTAGGGTCACGGGGGGTGCTGTAGCCTTTCCCAGCTGCCTTCGGGCAGTAGGCGGAGGACACCCTGAACCGGTTGCCAGCCAATCGTAGGGCACCCAGAAACGAACAACCATTCGTGCTCACACTCACACCTAGGGACAATTTGGAGTGTTCAATCAGCCTGCCATGCATGTTTTGGGAATGTGGCAGGAAACCGGAGCACCCGGAGAAAACCCACACAGGCCCGGGGAGAACATGCAAACTCCACAAAGGAAGGCCGGAGCTGGAATTGAACCCGGTACCGCTGCACTGTGAAGTCGACGTGCTAACCACTCGACTACCGGGCCGCCCTAGAGTCAAAACAATACAAAAAAAGATCTGGTGGATCAGCAATAAAATGTGAACGTTTTCTTCCATGTCCATTGCGCCACTCCATCACAAAATGATACAAAACTCAATTTAGTCAATCACTGAAGCAACCAACACTCAGTAGTAACTGCTATGAGGTAAATAAATCGATTTAAGTTCAATCTTTCCAGATGGAAGTCTGCCAGCTCATGGATGACGTATCATCTTTTATACAGATATGTGGTCTAAAACACTGAAGGGCTCCAACTACTGTCCAATTTGCACATGATCCACCATCACAGGAAAAAAATAAACTTACGGTTGTGAGACAGGATATATTTGTAACCATTAAATGGATTAAAAATATATATTTTAATTTAGTTGTATCATTACCAGGCATGCGGGGTGATGGGATACTTGTTAGAGAATTACGTACTTAAGACTGGGTGAAAAAAAGGTGACTGTATTCTGCTACAGTTACAGAAAAAAAAACGTATAATCAGATGACAGGTATCTTAAAAAAAGGGGCGGGGAGGATGTTTATTTCGGAGGATTACAATTTTAATGCAGGGAGAGGCCTGTTGTTGACTTGATCCTTGGCCACTTTCAAGTGAGTTAACAGCGCAACATATGGATAAGTTGTCGACATGTGCTGGATCATGTGGATGTATTTTAAAAGCACTGTTACGAAGTTAGCACAGTGGTTAGCTCGTCTGTGTCACAGTTCTGAAGTTCACGGTTTGAACACTGGATGCTTCGGCTTCCTCCTCCATTCCTGCAAGACAAATATATCTAAATATCGATTTGTTGATATTTAATTTCTCTTGCCTTCATCAGCACATGTTGTACTGACTTATCCAAAACTAACTGAAAGTAATCAAGTTAATGTACTTCAATATGATCGTATTTGGATTACATTCCTGCCTATTCATGATCACCTGGATCGGAATACTTTCTTTGAAGTAATCCTTCCAATCCTGATTGTGATAGTATTGTTACTGTCCTATTTTTGTTTTCATTAAAATTAAAATTGTTTTACTGATTTGCTTGGAATGTTATAAATGTGTCATTTTTACATGCCATCTAATTGAAATGCATGATCTTTGTATGACACCATAGTGCTGTGATAAAAACAAATACATCAGAGGGCTGGAACAAAGCAAAGCTTATTTTATATGCGTCAGATATATTATGAATTCATGCATTTAACTGACAGTGTTACTCACCTTGACAAGATGTGATGGCAAATAATTTCTTAAATTGTATTCACTTGATTCATTTGAAATAAATGTGTAGCCTCTGTGAAGCGGTTGGCCATGAACATCACTGACCCTGACGTCTCTTTTATTTATCTTGTTTATATATATATATATATATGTGTGTGTGTGTGTGTGTGTGTGTGTGTGTGTGTGTGTGTGTGTGTGTGTTTCAATTCTGGCTCCGGCCTTCCTGTGTGGAGTTTGCATGTTGTCCCTGTGCCCGCGTGGCTTTTCAGCGGGTACTACGGTTTTCTCCCACCTTCCAAAAACATGTACAGAAGGTTAATTGAGCACTCAAAGTCATTGTGTCAAACCCAAGGCCCGTGGGCCAGATTTGGCCCGCCACCTCATTTTCTGTGGCCCGCAAAATCAAATAAACATATGTCAACTTCCATGACGCTTGCTAAAAAATCGACCAAAATTTCAAATGTTCATTTATCATAAATAGCAGACATATTGTAAGCATTTTCTTCTTACCAAAACCCTCATTAGTGTAACTTAAACAATATTTGAAGAGACCATTATTCTTGCCTTCTTTATTTTGTTTCACAGACATAACGGCACTCCAAGGGAGATACCGTTCTACACTGTGGCCCATGACAAAAATGAGTTTAACAGCACTGCTCTAAATATTCCATATTTGCGATTGTGAGGGTGAATGGCTGTTTGTGTTTTTAAGAAGGGAAACTTGGCGGGTGTGTTTCATTTACAGGCCGATCGCACTCCTCAGTAAGGTCTATTCAGGGATGCTTGAGAGGAGGGTCTCGGTTATGTTTCTCGGCTAGCCTGGGAATGCTTGGAGATCCCCGTGGAAAAGTTGGATCAAATGGCTGGGTAGAGGGGAGTCGGGGCTTCCCTGTTAAAGCCGCTGCCTCCGAGCCCCAACCCTAAATAAGATGTAAGTGTGCACACCAGCTTATAACTGGGTGATGTGGTCATGTATAGAATGAATTCATCGGATTCTAACTCCTGTTAAATGAGAGATGGTTCACACCTGCCTCCATTTCAAGTGACGTTGCGCTAACCCTAAATGATGTTCAGCTGTTCTAGCAGTCCATTTGAAATCTGCGTACATACTTGTGTAGACTGTAATTTCCCCATTAACTGTCTGTCAGGTATCTTCAAGTGGTAAGTAGTCGGTCTTCTTCTCCTTATAGTTGCATAATAGTGAAAGATACTGAAAATATTGCCCAACAGTCAGTGATGGTTTTACAGTGGTGACAGTTGGAACGAAATGCGTTTGAGAAAATTAGAACAACAATCTGCATCACAGAAAGGATTGTGCTTAAGTCTCCACTGTACTTTTGTCATTGAAATATCCTTGCCAATGCTTGGCCCAAACCTTAAAGACAGACACAATTTCCGAGTATGCGAATGCTCATTTATTCTCTCTGAAGTGCAAAAAATACAAAATAAAATATACAAATAAAAAATATATAGAACACTCACATGAATGGTACCTTACATCATTTCTGCCTGTAAGTATTTCTTTTGCCGTAATGCCAGGTTCAAACATGAAACACAAGTGTGATGTTTACATGTAAACATTGTGAAGGAAAAAACCCGTAGCTTCCTTTAAAAAACAATTGGCAGAGTGCTTCTTTTGGAACATTAGTTTTTATTCGTTTTTCGCCTATTGTTCACATTTTTTGTCTTGTTGTTTGAATGGGATGTAAAAAAAGACATCAAACCAAAGTCAGAATGATCTTTTACAATAGAAAAGGACTTCATGCTCACATTCACTGTACAAAATGATGACAGCATAGCAATATATTTAGAAATGAATGAATATTACCACTCACACAGCAATATGCAACATACTTAAGACAGCAAAGGTTTTTAATTATCAACATACCAATGTTTATAAAACATCCGACGGTCATGTCTGGTACTTTTCCAGACATTTAGTCAAAAGTGCATCATAGTCTCCTATGAACATTCACACGTTAAAAAAAAAAAGATCCAAAAAGGTGCACTTGTTCCATGAAAATTACACTAAATAATTCCATTTTGATTTGATTTTATAATCAGAAATGGCTTCGTTACTGTCCTTTATCGACCGGTACTTAACATTTGTCCTGTTTATGTCTTTAAAAGACCAGACTTAATCTTGCCTTTCTTTGTTGACGTCAAAAGATGATGCAATCAGTCAGCATGCGGTGACGACAAATCTGCCCATATTGATAAGGTTATGAGAGACAACAACCATTTCATGATGCTGCAAGTCTCACGTTATAAGACGTGCTCAAGAAACCTAAGCTGAGGGCATGGGACCGCTGCTTGAAATTGAGCAGGAAGAAAAGAAACGAGGCCATCATTTAAGTGTGCACGTATGCTCTCATCTTTGTCGCCACTGAGCATATTTAGGAATTCCACCTTTCTGGACACTCGGGATGTTCTGATACATTTGCCAAGAAATGCAAGTTTAAGTTCAGTGTTCACTTGTTAAAGCTGCCACCAGTTTCATATGTAGTCATTGCTTCAAAGTCATATTAAGATCTCTTTATCAGTCCCGAAGGTGCAACGTCATTCATCAGATGAAATTGGTTCACGTTCAACAGCAATTGTATGCATTCAATGGAGAACATTAATACCATGCTTGGATGAATATGTACATGATATGAATCATACCCTGGCTAGATTGGTGAATTTTCAAAGTAAGAAGCATTTATTGAGGTGAATTAAAGGAATACGCTTGCATACTTTAGGGATCTTAAATGGAGTTAGAACCAGCAGAGCCAGTGCAAAATTCAAACCTATGTAGCATATTCATCCCTTGGTCAGTTTGGCTAGCGGGAATATTTATTTTTATTAAACAATGATATATATATATATATA